AATGTACAATTATCATCTGTAATAAAACATCTGAATCGAATACTCAGGATAGGAACCGTATTCTCCGGGTCTCCCTTTTCCTCAGTAATGTATCATACCGTTCTGTGAAATGTAAAAATGTTTGTGAATTATATTTTAATCCCAGCGTTCATTATGGTATGTAAGTGCTCGTTTAGTATGTTTTTCATTACCATGGGAACCCGTAGAACTAATACAATCCGGTATCGGAATTGACATAACTTTGCGGCCATTGCTTCTATCTTGAGAAACAATACGAGAATAGTTCTGGTTCTGAAAATCTGTATCAAGACTACAAATACATACCGTATTACAACGAGATAAAGTTATTCACAAACTTGGTGAATCGCAAATAATCGTCACGACAGCTCGACCTCATACTCTACCCATCATAAAATGTATTTTATATTACATTTCTTTAAAAAATTAGTTAACAAATTAAATCCTCTTGATAAAACATCAATAAACATGCATGAATCGGACTAAAGCAGCTGGCCATTACGTCTCCTCGATTCAGTATATCATTTAATATGAAACAATTACCATTCGAAACAAATTCAACTTGACGCACTAAACTAAGGGCTGGAGGATCCAAAACTGCTCTATTAGAAAATGCTGTATTGCCATTCAATCAATATGCGAGATAGAATTATGCAGTTATCTATAGAAAATAAATATATGTATTTGTCCAGGGCAAAACAAAATATCTCACAGTCTTCTAAGCGTATCAGAAGTGTCCTGAAAATATTATTCGTGGATTTGTAGGTGCGCTGTATGTTTGATATACTAAATTGAACTTTTGACCCACGTAAGTAATATTTGCAGGTACCATGTCTTGTAATTAAGGTAGATGGTATTTTTTAATCATTGTCCAAGGCAAATATATAAAATAGACGTCAAGTAATAGCTCTTCATCGTCCATCCTTTATATTCAACATTAGAGCAGATTGAAAACCATGCACTAATTAAACTCTATTTTTGATTGGTCAGATCGTGTGTGTTGTCGATGACGTTCGAAATGACGGGAGTAAATTTGAAATTCATTTTGTTTTAAATCTATTTTATTTATAGTAACCACAATACATTGCGAACTCTTAAAAGGGGGCTTCATTCGGCCTGTTTTTTTTTTCACGTGATTATGGAGATATTTGACCGACAAACCTTTTAGTTCACTTTCTTCACCTTTTAAATCAAAATGTCGATCAAGTATGATTGACGAAAATTACTTCCGAGTAGCGTACCTCATTGAAATAAGAATCCTGTAAACAGAATTCTCAAATTGAGATAAATCTAGCAACCATGAGTCATCCAAATCAACAAAAACGTGTTCTGTCATCCTAATCGCAACGATACAGAATGTTACATCTCTCTAGATTCAGCTTGCGGTCTTGCTTAAAATCATTCGACATTACAGTCCTGCAGACACGATTAAATATTAAACAAAATTGTAATTTTTATTGAGCAAACCCTACGCTAATGAGCGCATATGAGCTTAGTATTGGAAATAATATGACTTGTTCACTCTCTAGAGTATGGCTGTTCTAAGGTTTCATAATATACATATTTTAATAATCTTCCGACTTATCTTTCTCGTTTTTGATATTATTTTAATAACAATTAACAATGAAATGTCATAATAATTCACGCATTAATCGGCGGTAGGTAGAACGTTAGACAAGCATAATGATTATATAACTATGTCCCCAAAGACTTCAGTGTACACGTGAATGCTTCACTCAGTGTCTGCCTCACTCGTCATGTGGCTATAATCGTGCATTGGTAATCCATTGGTACAACTTTTCTTATGCTGTTCGCGTTTTACAATCTGTTTGTGCGGTCGAAGTTTGAGCATTCGTCGTGTTTATTCTATGACTCGAATGTTACAATGTTTATTCTTTATGAATGCTTAAATCTTATGGACTTGCCTCATTAATAAGTCCTCGCAAATAAGTGTCTCTGTGACATATTTCACTTATTAAGTGTTAGTTAGTTATGTGTGGTATATAGTAGACAATATTTGATAATTCTTGTCTATTGTATATTAGCATCTAGACAAGTTACTATTTACGGCTGAAACATTATA